GTTCGACTCCCGGACGCGGCAGAACACGCCACCTGGTTCATTCGCTGCAGTTTTGACTGAAAATTAAAAAGCAAGGGCAGGGGAACGGGGCAGGGACGCCGTGTAGAGAGCACCGGCACGGTCTGCATCTCCGGCCCCAGCCCTCGGGAGAGGCAGGGGCACCGGTGAAGGCACAGAGGAAGCTTCAGGGAGGTGGAAAAAGTGCTGGTGCTCCCCTCATGCCTGCAACAAGAACACGCAGTGTCTGCGGTGAAGGCTTCACTGCCGTGCATCGCCCCACGCTTTGTTAGAAGAGTCAGCTTTCTGGCAGGACCTCAGCAGTTTACTCAGGGAAAAGAAAAAATTAATTTTTTGTTTGTCCTTTTAGAGGGAAGATTGACCGAGGGCCGGCTGAAAGTGTCCCCTTTGTCTAAGAGCTGGCACTATTCCCCTCTATTGAGCAGCAGCACAAAAGGCCCATTGCTGCTCACCACAACGCTGTTGCAGGACAGCATCACTGGCCCCTCATCACATCGCCAGCACCCCCCGTCGCATCGCTGGCCCCCTGTCACATCGCATCGCTGGCCCCTTCCCCGATCACGATGCCGGCACACCCCCCCATCACATCAAAGGACCGGGGTTTTCACTCCCAGCTCCACACCGAGGTTTGGGCAGCGCACACCTCACATCGGGGTCCGTCCTGCACGCGGAGCACAGACTCGCTGACCCACCTTAGCACCTGCACACGGACACCCCAGACTGCTCAAAATGAAGGTGCGCTCACAAGAACTGGAAACGTGGGGACTCGTACCTGAACGTCCTGCGATCATTTCTTCCATCCACACAGCCTTCATGTCTCACCAACCACCACCCAGGACTTGGATTTTTGCCGTCACTTCTTTATTTTGGGAAAAATATACAAATTAGTTCCGTTAAATAGGCTGCTCAATAAGTACACTCCCCAAACACAATGTGCTTACGCTCCATCTTCCCCTACAGATGCAGAATCTGTAAAACCAGCAGACAGACAGACAGACACAGCGCTACTTCGGTAACTCCCTGCAGCTCGTGTGAGGGAGAACGACTGAAATAGCTGCATACTCTTGAAATACCAGTCCAGAACCACAGCTGGTCGTACATACAAAAGCGGCAAGTTTTGCCTGTGCCCCACTCACCATTTTTTTTTTTTCAAACCACCAAAAAGTAGTACTGCAGAGAGGCACAACACAGTGAGGTGTGTCTGTTTCGCTGCCCCCCTGCAGACGTTCAGCGTCACCCTTCCCAGGAAGGGGCTGAGGCTGCCCAGGGAGGCTGTGGAGTCTCCTTCTCTGGAGATATTCCAGACCGGCCTGGACAAGGTCCTGTGCAGCCTGCTCTGGGTGACCCTGCTTCGGCAGGGGGTTGGACTGGGTGACCCACAGAGGTCCCTGCCAACCCCTAAAGTTCTGCGATTCTGTGACTGTTCCAGGTACGCCGGGTACCTGCTTACACTCTTTGGGAGACATCAATTTGCAAATCAGCACAACTGACATAGCAGCTAAAAACGAAAGAAAAAAAAAGAACAAAAGACGTATTTGCCCCAGTTTTCACAGAGAAAACCACGGTGAGCCAATACTGGAGCCCAAAGAAAAGCCGTATCGCAATGTGTGGTGTAACCGTGATGCGTGTAACCAGAAAGGACAAATTATTACATGGCAAACGCAGCTTGTCCCCACAGATCACAGGCCAGCTGAGCAGCCCTATTAATGCCACAAGCTTTTTTTTTCTCAAAGTTGCTGTTTGAAGGACACAAGGACAAAACACCACAATCCCACCACAGCCCGTGCAAACCAACCTCACTATATTACACAGTGACACTGTGTGAACAGAACAGCTTCCTCTCCTCCTCTTTCCAACAGCTAACCTGCTTTAGTTCAACTCATCCAAAAATCTGTATAAATTACTACACTACGTCAACAGACTCTGTTGAAACTGGAAGTCACCTCTCCCAAAGAGGTTATTTTAGAAGTACTTCGGGTATCATTTAAAAACAACAAATTTCTCCCCCCACCAACACACAGTGACAGTGGAATAAATCCACTTTCTTTCACGTTAAAGAACCAGTTTTCCCTTTGCAGTGGCTCTAGTTTCTTAATTCCAGTATTTCAAAAGATGGTTAAGTTTGGTATTGCCACTTTTCTCCAATGGGAAAAAAAGAGATAGGCAGATGCCAAGGGAATACGGAAGAAAAAACAAATAATAGATACTAACGGGAGATCTGTGGTTCTTGACAATGTCAAGCTCTAAACCTCTTATGGAAAACCAAAGTATAATTGGGCAGGGTTGGGGAAGGCAGAAGGGGGAAGAAGCACTGGTGTCAGCGCAGAAGACGCAAAGATTTGACAAATGAAGGACCTTTAAAGTCCAATCTCTAAACCACATCTTCATCCTCACTTTGCTGAGTCTTCCTCAAGCTGGCCTGACGAGCTGTTGTGGACAGTGTGCCAGCTCCGAAGCTAGGAGCACACAGACAAGAGTCAGAAAAGCCAGAAGTATTTGCAGAGGAACAACACACTCTAACAGCAAAAGGGTGAACAAAAATGATGCCAAACGTGCAGGCAGCTCCAGGAAACCACTGCCAGCCCAAGGCTTAGACGCAAGCGGTGAAGACCTTGCTCAAGCAGGCGTTCCCATTCCTGACCTTCGGGTGGTCCCAAACAAGACGGTGAACATGACAAGCAGGCAGAAAGATGTTTGGTGAGGTAAAAGACAGTAGCACCTCCCTTCTAGAAATAGTAAAAAAAAGGGCTTTTTTCCCTGTATGTAGACATTTAAAAAGTTTTTCTCCTTTTTCCCCAATAAAACCAGTAATACAAGCACAATCATAAAAAATACCAACCCTGCTCAGAAGAACTCTCAGGATCTCATTTCCTCATACACAAGCCTGTTAAACTTCAGCAAGTATTAAAAACTGGAATCTGATAGTAGCTTCCTGCCCCCCAGCACAGATTTATCTCACACACACGTGCACGGGGTACATACTACACTCCCCTTTCACAGATTAACTGTTAAAAAGGACGATTGTTCTAAGCCACGGAGACCTGTGAGGTCTGGCTCTCACAGAGAAGCCAATTTCCTCTAAGGTTTTTACCTGATTTGCAAGGCAAAGCTCTACTGCTCCTGTACATTCATTACAAAACAAAACAATAGTCTTTTAGAGCGAGCCTAAAAACCCTGGACCTGTTGGTGCCAGACCACAGGTCAGTTCTTGGCCGTTCGGAGCTTCCTGCGGAAATAGTCCGGCGCTGCATCATACAGCCAGTCCGCATCCACCACGCAGAGGTCCCGCATGTAGCACTTGTTGGTGTGAAGCAGGCCGTTGTACACCACGCAGGCTGGTTTGCAGTGGAAGAGCACGGAGGAGGGGTGGATGGCCACCGACTGGTGAGAGTCCACGGTGCTGTAGGTGCCGTCCAGCTGCAGCTCTGCAGCGTTCATGAAGAGGCTGTGAGCCAGGCAGCGGCGGATGTTTGCAGTGTCTGAGCGGGACGACTCGATTGGCATCGATAGCTGTTCAGCAGCGAGAGAGACAAACGTAAGCAAGCCTGTATGTGTATGTGCATCCTCGTGGGGAAACACAGCCCCATTTCAGCGCGCTTCCGAGGTCAGGCAGAAATCCTGCTAGCGTGGGAAGTATAAAAGGACTGCTAGGAATTCAGCTCAGGCAGCTGCTAGGCTAATCCAGACTAACAGCAAACAAAAGAGGAGTCGCAAAACGCTTCGAGACTCTCCTACGAGGGAGTTGTAGGCCAGCCAGCATTCGCAGCAGGACAGGGGTGCCAAACGGTGGCTGCCACGTCACACACAGACCACAGGCAATTCCGCAGCAGCTCCCACGCTGTGCCTTGCGCTCCATGACTGGCAGTAACAGTGTTGATGGGCAAGCTGCTGTTAAACTGAATGCCTGACTCCGTGAAGAAGCCAGCCAGCATGGGCTGCAGAGGCTGATGTCACTCCGTGGCACACATAGCATGGTCACATCTACACTGGGGCAGTGAAATTCCTTAGGAAAACACTGTCCTCTAGCCAAGAACCCTTCCCAGAGCTCTCCTCCTCTCTCACCTCTCCTCAACCCACTGAGCCTTGCAGCTCTCAGATTTTGGGGCACAGCTGCACAGTCAGGAATTTTGCCTGACTATTCATGGGAGACTGAAAACAAACCCACATTTTCTCACTCCTGGGACATGGTGCCCAGCAAAATCAGTTTGGGACAAACAGAAAAATACAAACAGGTAAAACAGAGAAATACAGTGTGGCAACAAGTTACCTTGACGCAAATGTCCCTGAGCTGAGCTCTGACGTCTGACACCAGCATCATGTTCCTGCTGTTGACAAAGTTCTCTTTGCACCATTCCTGCAGCAGAGACACCAGGAGTTAGCAGGGGCCGTTTCTTCACCCGAAAAGCACAACAGTCTTTGGATACCACGAAAAGCAGAGTCCTCCAAACACACAATCTTCCTCAGAGAAAAGGTGCTAACCCATTTCCTTGTTGTATTTCTACCCCTCATTACTCCCCTTTGTCTACATTCTCTCCCACAGTGCCAAGAAACTCAGAATTGCTCTGCAAGGCCACCAGTGCTTCGGAACCGCCCTTGCTATCCCCCGGGGGGTGAAAACCAACTACGCACAAATGACAGATGCTGCAAGGAATGGCATACACGCACCTACAGATCTGCAAATCAAACTGAGGAGTTTATAGGGTAGGATAAATCAAAATCTGCTTGTAAACAGGCTCAGTGTTTTTGCAATGAATCCTGCCAAAGAGCATGTCTAGGTATTTATCAGCAAGTCTCAACACCCTCCCACTCCCTCCTGCTTCCAGCTGGAACCAGGGAAGGAAGAGACCTGTCTCTGATTATAGAACAGGCCTCAAGAAGCTTTTGATAACCAGTTTTGGTACAGCTTTCTAGGGGATCCTTCGGCACTTGAACAGCTTTCTCCAATTACCCAGCTGTAAAGGATGAGTAAGCCCTCTCTTCTCATTGCTCTGGAAGGATGCGTATTGCATCACCCGCAAAGGATGCAGATGTCACTCTGCTGTACACCAAAACAGCTCCTCACCACCACAAGCCCAGACAGCACTGGCGTCCTCAGAGCATCCTACCTTGTTGCCACTGACATTTTTGAAGGCCCTGTACAGGCTGAGCAGGGTAAGATGATCGCCCTCACTGGAGATGAATTTCTTCCTGACGGACTGCACTTCTTCCCGCCGGGCAGGGGGATTGTAGAGGACACTGTCCACCGATAACAGCGACACGATGGTCAGGATCTCTTCTGTACAGTGGAACTTAGGGGACAGGAGGATGGTCTGCAAATCACAGAACAAAACTGATTTTCGTTCGACCAAATCCACTTCAGATGGGCAGGCTTTTCTGCTCACTGGCAGCCCAGGAACTTCACCAAGCATTGTTTAGGACAAGTTCATAAACATTTGGGCCTAGAGACAACGGTAAATCCTCTTCTGGGCCCACCAGGCACCTTTAACAGCAACTGCCATGCTCCTTCCTGCGTTCATGTACAGTACAAACATGGTGCCTAA